CCCTGTTGTCTTTGCCCAGTCCCTGTATACCAGGTTCAGACCCTTCCCTTCCTTAAAACCCTCCTGAACATTCACACCATCCACAGGGCACACAACAGTAGCCTTGGTACTTTTTGCTTGGACAAATCCAGTAAGAAGACTCACACCACCACATAGCTAACTTTTCAAGAGGTCAGGCAGCCATCTGTATTTAATCTATTGTATACATTCATTCTGGGTGACTTCCAGGTACCCATTTGAATGAAGCAATCACTCTTTATCTCAGCTGTTTTCAAAGAGCAAGATAGACTGTAGACTCTTGAGGGTCAGAAGTGGCAACACAAGACTCCCCCAGGCCTCTCCTGCTGCAAGACAATTGATCCTTTGTCTTGCTGAAGGAAAGCTTAATACAGAAGGAACTGCTTGACATCCCCATGATCCTCAGTACATTCAAGCAGCTAATTCCAATCCCTGATTTAGGGAACAGCCTCTTGATTTCTGACAAATTTAATTGGATTTTCAATCTCTCACAGAAAGAATTGGTGTTACGGTGCTCACATTGCACTCTCAGGAGAGGACGCGGAGCACAGCCAATGAGGGTTTTTGACTGCACGACTGGTACAATGTTCACAAGCCTGAATGTGGGATCTCTGCAGTGCTTTGTGTTAGCAGATGCTGGTCCACCCCAGGAAGCAAGGTTACAGATCCAAATTTCTCAGTGCTTTAAACTGAAAGAGGACAATTTCCCTATTAATTCATTTATATGAGTTTCTAAAGACAAATTTCCTTGGGCTGGCTGGAAGAAGTCTAGCCTGGGAAACAGATAAATCAAGCTTAGATTCAAATTTTCTGGAGTCAGTAGCCTTGGCATTAGCTCCAAAAGAGCATCAACCTTTACCTTTGTAAAGAGCAATATGGTGGGTGCTAGAGTCAGCTCTTAACCTAGAGTTATTGCAAGTCAAGCAACACTTCATACCGAGTTAGCTCCTTTTTGACCCTGTACATCCACAAAGAAATCAGAAAGCTGAGATGTCATCACCCCTACTGAGTTCACACAGCTCTTTCAAGCCACTGAAATCAATATTTTATCAAGAAGATGCCATTCCTGGCCATACTCTGTATTAAACGAAACAGAAGAAATAAAAGTCGGGGAGAACTGCAACAGGCCTAAATTACAGAATTCCATTTCCAAACATAAATGAAAAGCCAAATGGTAGCATGAAGCTTAACCTGGGGGGGATGCGTTTTCAAAGCAGCCTGCAGCTGAAGAAAAGGGGTTACCTTCCGCTGCCTCGGACACCTGCTGTTGAAAGAGCGGGTAGAGCAATCTGTGCAGAAGTGGTAAGCAACCTCCTCGCAGGTGTCAGCAAAGCAATTTCTTTGTCTTCTTGTAAGAGCCTTCTACCCCATTAAGCATCCCTAATTACAGTATTTATCAGCAACTAGCCTGTCTTTGTTCTCTTCCCTTTTTAACTAGGACATGTCAAAACAGATATGCACGGTTGTCCCCCAGTTGAAAGAATCTGCATCCCAGGAACTGTATTTCTTTAGTGAAATTTTGATCGTGGGCATTTTTGCAATTAGTCTGCGCATCTTGCAGAGCTTAACCATTCATATATAGTATAACTAGATCTCAGTCACCTGACATGGGGTTGGAATAGCACTGGTAGGCACTAAGAAAAGCTATGCAGGTAACTGAGAAGAGAAAGTGGATGTCCTATTCTGTGTTGGCATCTAATCAGCTGCTCTCCCACTCCAACTTCCCGTTATCCCATCACCAAAAGACTTTAGGGGAAAGCTGCTTAAAGGACTTGATAAGAAACATCCCTCGCTGCCCCAGAGAGTACTGAAAGCATAGAGAGCGTCAACATATCACAGGCCCCAAAACAAGATGGGCCTCCCTCACACTTGCACTCAGTTGGCCTGTCATCATTTTCACTAGCTGCTCCTTCAACGGGATGGTCTTCAAGAGAGTTAGCTAAGCAAAACACCAGCCTTTCCCTTGCCAAAATTAAATGGAGCTGCACTGCTGTCAGAGGTGGCCCGGGAGCCCCAGAAGTGTTGGAGACACAAAGGAAGGACTCCACAGAGCGCACAGTTGCCTAAACTAGCTAAGAGTGAAGTGCCCAGACCCAGATCTTCCATACCATTTGCAAGAATTAGACACCAAAAAAAAAAAGTATAGCTTAGTGCTAGTCACACATCTAAGAAGTGGGTGAACAGTGTTCAAACACCCCCCTCCTCTGCCCGATTTGGAGCAGAACTTGAACCCAGGTCTTCTACATCCTAAGTGAATGCCTTAACTACCAGGACAGAAAGACAGAGATACCCCATCTCCAATCATCTTCCTGGCAAGCCAGAAGTCTCAAATTAGGCAAAGGAAAGGCCTGTTTCAAGGCTCTGTCTACAAACAACTCGTTATTTTTGAGGCAGCACCAGTGCTTATGCCCCTGCCAACCAGCATCCAGTTAGGCAGCAGCTAAGCTGCAGCTCTAAGGACACATGACAGGCACCTATGGATGTGTCCAAGTCCCTTTGAGGATCTGGGCCTTGGGCTATGTGCACATGCCCTACTCCACACTGACTCCTTTCAATCTGAGAAGGTCACGTGGGCATAAACTATGCAGTACCTCAATGATTACCTAGCCCAGAGAAGAGGGGTTAGGTAACCCCTCAACCCACATGTCAGTCCCATTTACTTTGCCTCTCAAGGAGTAGGGCGGGATGACATGTTGGGTGCACTAATTACGCTGGTGAGTCTGACAGGGCTCACTCTTCAAACAAAGCTACTTGGTTCTACTTTTCTAGTTGAGACTTTTGTTTTTACAGAGTATTTCAAGTCGATGACAGGAAAGGGCTCAGATCTCCCTCAGCAGCCCCCAGGGATGTGTGTCACTGTGCTGGTGAGTGGCATCCTGACAAATGTCACAAGGATTACAAGCGGAGTGAGATACAGCTGGAGCGCCAATTCCTAGAGGACATTTCCCAGCTTTGCGGTTGACAGCAGGATCATTTAAAATAAAAATTAAAGGAAAGCTCTTTTGTATGCAAAGCCAACACAAATCCAGTTGCTAGACAGAAAAAAAACAACCAGATTTGGGGATGATTTTTCATTTCATTATTCAGAACCGTATGTTGTTCAGATTGGCTGCAATTTTGGTTCAACTCAGAAGACCTCTGAGAAGGCAGGAACCTGTATGAGGATTATAACCAGAAGAAACAGAAATCTTTCCTTGGAAGGGAAATTGGTCTGGATGGTCTTGATACGGGATCCTTCCTTGGGGTCGGAGGAAAACAATGGTTATCCATCGTCTCAGGACGAGTATTTTATGCAGGTACACCGGTGTAGCTGAACTATCTCCTGGGCTATACATATTTTCAGGATTACCTCCTGTAGGAAAAAAGTGGCATTTCCTCAGGGCTGTAAACTGTAGAGCTGAACAAAACTGGTCTCCATGGGAAGGTAACTCAGGCACTGCTGTAAATGAGCAGCTTGGCAAGCACTGTCCCCATGAACACAGGTTGAGACCCCCCCCTCCCTTCACACATCCTGACAGCACCGCTGTCCCCATGTCCCATCTCCTGACCATGGCAGAGCAAGCCAGACCCCCTTCTTGTAGCTCCTGATGCAAGAAAGCCCCAGTCGATCCCCTCCAGTATGTTCAATGGCCTTGAGAGCTGTGGATCCTTCCACAGACACGGGCACGATACCTCCATTTAGACATTTAAGCTCTCCTTCTACAGTGTGAAATGGCTGCGTGCGCGCCCTTGTAGCTACAAAACCAGTCTCCCCCTCTGGGGATCAACACCCCGCTGTCCTGCTGAGTCGGCAGCCAGACAGCCTGAAACAATACAGCAACTTAATGGAGCAAAATCACCATCAATGTTCCCCATTAAAAGTATTTTTTTTATTATTATATAGTGACTGTAATTTTCTCTCTGCTCACTCAAACATCTCACAAAATAAACAGTTTCTGTATTATCCCCTTGTAAATGAGACCACAGGATCGTAAACTTTAATTTGTTAGTTTTGGCCGCTCTCAGGTTTGGCAGACAATTAAACCAATTCATTAGTGAGTGCAGAGGCACATTTTTGGCGTTGCCTTGCTGTGTGAGGTAATCCAGTGAGTTCATTGGATGGAGCGGGGGGAAAAAAAAGAGCTTTTGTCACGTGACTCCTCAATACCGTACCACTGCCTGGGTACATTCTGCATATGGAGCTTTCCCCTTCCTTTTGCTCTGCACCATCCAAGATATGTGCCACCAGTGAGGTCAGAAACCAGTAGCAGGCTAAGCAGTCCTCTGGCCTGACCCGCTGATCAAATGGATTAAATCAGATAGGTGATAACTGAGGTTAAGGTTTAAATTTGGAGGTAAATCAAACCACCCCAGAACAGAACATACCTGAGCTCCAGGTAACTTTAATTTATACACAAACTTCAAAGGTCTCCCTGAAAAGTGACTTCTTTGCCTATGCAGTTCCTTGAATGGCCAAGCCAATTTCGGTATTCCCACTTCTACCTAAAGAATCAAGCACAGGTGGTAACATTGGCAACATCTGTTCTCAGTTCTTAAAGTTAGCAAGGCTCCCGGTCACTTATGTTGTAACAAGGGCAGAGATTAAGTAACCAAGACCCTCAAACAGGTTAAAATCTGAGAACAGATATTTGCAATGAGGGAAATAATTTCTCCCTGCATTACAACACATCCCCCTCATTGTAAAAGACTGCTTTGACGAGGCTTCGTTGAAGCAGGCCACTGATCTGACCGGTTTCAAAACTGCAATCTGTTGAAACTTTCACTTGACATTTTACTCTCTACAAACAACGCCCCCCCACAAAACTGAATTAAATCCTGTAGGTTTTGTTCTCTCCTGTGACTACCAACGCTTAACTACAGTTATCAGAGCAATGTCCATGAGCACTGTCAATAGCCTGCAAAGGCAAATGATCTCCATAATAGTCGAGCGAGTATGGATATTTGCAACTGGGGAATACCTGCCTGATTACAGCTCTGATATTTCTATGTTGGCTTAAACAGATTGTCTTGTTTCTTGTCTCTGGATTTAACCATTTACATCTGGGCTGGGCTTGGGGATCTATAAATAAGTTGGCAGGTACATTCTTAGAAGTAGATGTCAGATTTTCAGCCAATAGATTTTTCCTCCTTCTTCCCCAATATCTTCTTATATCTATGAAGGGACTTGAAATGGTTTTGGTCAGGTCTCTTCCAACCCTTTCATGCTATAAACCAGACCCTCTTAAACCTTCTCTCCCCTTTCAGATGAGCACAATGGCCCGCTGCCCGGTTCACTTAACCAGCAAAATGCTGGGAAGGGTTGTGAGGATGGTAATGGACCAGAGTACAGCCAGAGCTATACACTTAGATGAAAGGCTCTCCCTTGGTATGAGGGGGAGTGTGATGAAAGAAGGCTTTACTTGGTGTTTCCAACACCTCCACTCCCTTCTGGCTGTAAAGAGAAGGGGAGAAGGACCGTCCTGACCTTCCCTGCTCTACTCAACTCACTGGGCCCCCAGAGCTAATGAGTCTCTTGGGCCATCAAGTCCAGTCCTCTGGTTTCTAGCTCAACTGGGAATCCCCTTTTGCTGGTGGAGAGGAGAACAATTAGATCCATCATTTATTTCCTATAATCTATGGAAAGGCAAAAGCTTATAAGGTTGGGGGGTTTTTTTCCTAGTGTGGGAAAACTATAATAATTGACTAATCTTTTGGCAAATAGATGAGGCCTGCACAAATGAGTTCAGCAGCTGTCTGAACTTCTGTCTCTCTGAAAGAGAAAGGGAAGGGAAATAAAACAAACAAAGACGAAACGGAGCCCTCTCCAGTCAGATGGCTCCCCCTGTTTCTCCATTTCAAATGCAAGGTTATCGGGTCTAACATCGCACTTTTAACAAATCAAAACATCTCAGCTCTAGCATTACGCGGGATGCTCCCAGGTCAAAGCCCATAGCTGTAAACTCATTAGTCTTGTCTTTTGAGAGAGAAGAAACAGTCCACGTTTCCCTCTCGCCCCCTTCCCACTAATTAAAATTAAACCATTTCCTGGCCAAAAGTCATTCCTGCATTCATTCATCTCAATTCTTTTCTGTTTGGATAAACTGCACTCTGGTACTCCGAGGGTGTTAGGTACACAAACGATAAACTCTTAACAGGCGTGCAGTGTGTTATGACTGGCTCGGCAAGCTCTGAAAAGTGGTTCTTGGCAACACTGCGTGTGACGTGCAGCGCAGGCCCATCAGTCATATACGATCAGATACTGCAGAGCACTTGATGGACTATACAGGAGGAGATTTACACATTTAGGAGAGAAAAGGCAAAACAAAAATAAAACCCAAAACACCCACACAACACATAGGTCTGTGTTGTGCAGCACGGCAATCGTTTATACACAAAGACCTACCACGTCAGGCACAGCTACTCATAGTTCAAGAGACTACCAGTCTCAGTAGATAAAAGTCTTTCTGAGTTTGTCACCCTCATCCCCAATACACAGATGTAGTGACCGGGGACAAATAAACTTCCAGCTTAATCCAAGCAGCTTTTGTTCATGTCAGAGTAGAAAAGCACATGCTGAGGTCTGTAGTGTCTAGCAGCCTTATTTTCACAATGAAGGATGATAACAGTAACTGCAACCTGCTGTGATTTATGCACGTTAGCCTTGAGAAGCCAGTCAAATAACTGGCCTTTTCCCCTCGGGTGCTATTGCTGAAGCTGGTCTCTATAAGCGAGACCTCCAATGATAGTGGATTCGAAAAGACTTTTCCTTCGTGAAGAGATGCAACCATCACCTCACTGAATATTATGCATTTACAGAAAGTAACAGCACTGGAGTAGCTAATAAACAGATAATCACTCCACCTTAGAAGAATATATTTCCCTATGGTGCGGACCTCTTGTTGGCCAAACATTTGTGCCAAACCATTTTATTGTCATACTGGACATCTCCTGCAAGTGTTTGGTGCCCCATAGAGTTTGTGAACCCACAGAAATGTTCTGCAAAAAACATGTTCCTTTAAAAAGGAGAGAATTTCTAAACATTTCTTCCAGCCTGGATTTTCCAGAAGTCTCCAATCCTTTCACTTGCATATAAAGCACAGGCTTTTATGACCCTGAAAACATTTAATTGCCTGACTTTGCCTGTAGGCCAATTAGATAGATGTTCAAGTACAACAGTGCACACTCACAAGAGCAAGGGCACAAAAAAGCCTGAGCTGTGGCCCTCTTGAGACCCCAAGCTTTTGGGGTTTATGAAGAGAAAACGTTAAATACTGTAGTCCTTAGAAGTACAGAACTGGTTTTCGAACACAAACGAAGGCTAAAATATGACTGCAAGGCAGATCTATGGGTGGGAAGGGTGGCCTTGTCTGTGATGTAGATGAGCAGCGCGGAGGTGAGCAGTATGGATAAGAATGTCACTGTAATTTTTCTTTCCTCCCTCCCTCCTTTCTGTAGACATCATTTGATTACAGGCAGGCAAGAAATTTGCTTTTCAGAAGTCTATGTTCTTAATATGTTAACCCAGATCAGACTTAACATGCACAGGCATCCAAGCAGGTAACCACGGCTCTGCCTTGGGGATTCTCCCCCGTGTGTACATATAACTCTATTCTGAATATGCTCAGTATCATCAGTCTCACATCACCAAAATTAAACTTTTTCTGCACGTGTGCGCGCATGTGTGTGTATGTGTGCACACGCGCTAGGCAATGGTTTCTTACCCTATGCAGCAGAGCCCTTGTCCCTAAGAGAGCAGTGCCCACCCTGCTCCCCTCTTCAAACTTTGGCTCCAGAACAAGGAGTGCCATAAAAGCACCACAATGAGAAAACTCACTTTTTACTTAAATGGAGCCCTTATTCTCTTTCTGCATCTACTTTGGCAGTCAAGTGGAGCTCATTAAATGAGGCCAGTTTTAGAGCTCCATGACATTTATTAATCCCTCACATTTCTATCGGGTCTCCCATCCAAACCTCTCAAGTGGCTTAACATTAACAGAGTTGCCGAGCACACCATGAGGTAGGGGAAGGAGATGGAGGGCAGATTTTTTCCATACAGTGAAACACACCAGTTGTTTAACTGAGCATAAACACTGCACCACAGTTTTCTGCCAGGAAGGAAAGAAAACCCATTTATCTAGTTGAAAGAGAAGGGTTTATTTTACTTGAACAGAATGGGTACTTGGTACCCCAAAGCTTGCCTATATCCCTCCCAGGTATACAGTAGGTCCAATAAAGAAACCCTTGCCCCTCACATTTTTCTTATACCCAACACCACCATTATGTCAAAATGAAAGTCAGACAGGAGGCCAGGGGCTAACCTCGCATCTCCACTCATAGAAATACCCGAAGTATTACACCCTAATGAGCTGGACT